ACACACACACACACACACACACACCAGGAGCCATTAATAATAATAGCCCTGACTAGTTCTTCTGAGATCTTTCATGGCCCTGTGCCAAGCTCCCCAGCATTCTTTTGGGCTTGGCAACCTGGGAGGTAGGTGCTCTGCCGCCATTTTGCAGATGCTTGCATGAAGCATGGGGAGGCACCTAGAGCCTTGACTAACAAGTGGCACAGCCTTGAGCCTGCACCGCCTTTTCCAAAGCCCTCTCTCTTAACCATTACATGTTTGTGTATTCTCTTGCATTGCTCCACGAGTTGTGCAAATTGCTAGGTGAGAGTCATACCGGGCCTGCACATGTGGAAATGCTGTCTGAATTGTGGTAGGACCTGTTGAGCCTCAATTGGCCTCTCTAGTCACGTAAGAGCACAGAAATAGATCATGGGAAACTGTCCTTGGTGGGGAGGGGTCATCGGCGTCATGGGCAGAGGAGTGTGAGGTGTGTTCCCGGCCTCCTTTCAAATTCTCTCAAGGCCAAGATGGGGACAAGAGCCTTTTTTCCATTCTCTAAGGGATAGGCAAGGGAATTAGACATTTAGAGAAGCTGCCTATTGTTGGCAGAGGAGGCTACTTGGATACTGGTGGGGTGCGCCTTCTTCTTGGGTGCTGCCTGGAATGACACCCCTCACTAGAGCCAGGCTAAGCACACTTGTGCTTAGGAACTTCCTGCCCATGCTGGGAGCCAGGCCACCTGGATTTGGACCCCTGCTCTGCTTGCTGCTTAGTCTGTGGGGACTTCTGCACTGCCATCTCTCTGTGAAGCTTGACTTCCAAAGCCTGTCACCGAGGGCTGAAAACAGATGGTCTCAAAGGACCCTTTCAGCCTGTCCCCTCCAGGCAAAGCAACTCCACAGCATCAGGGATTGTCTGCTTAGGTCTTGCTTCAATCCTGAGTGTCACATCGCTTAATTCTCCCTTGTGTTAGATTCCCTCCTTCCTCAGTGGCTCCTGGAGAAGGGTCTTTCAGAGATAGACACTGAGCTGCTTGGGTCTTCAAGGTGGGTCTGAACCCTGGGCTGCCCCAGGGTCCCCCAGTGGAGTAGAAAGCACCCATTCCCTGCTGGTCAGGGTTTGTCTGACTCTCCAAATGAGTGTGGAGTGTAGCTTGCAGAGTGTTCCTAGCAGGAGCCATCCTTGTCCCTTGTCCTAGATCTGTTTACTTTGAGCCCTAGTTCTCAAAGGTACTGTCAAAACCTGTTCCTTGTGGCCCAAAGCCCCTTATCCACCTAGAGACCATATCCCCTTGCCTGGGACTTGCTGTTTTAACTTTAAATTTCAAAGTTTGGTTGTTGTTAGTTGAGATAGGGTTTACTCTGTAGCCCAGCCTGGCCTAGAACTCACTTTAGTCTTCCTGCCTTAGCCTTCTGAATGCAGCAACCATGGCTGGCTGTGGTTATTATTTTGTTTTTGAGGCAATATCTCACTGTGCTACTCAGTCTGGCTTTCACCTCACAATCCGTTGGCCTCAGCTTCTTGTGTATCTAGGATTACAGTGTGCAACCTCCAGTTCACCCCTTATTCTCAGTCTAAGGCAATGCTGGCAGTGGGCACAGAGTTGCCCCATTTGTCTCTCCTTCTGAGGGCCTGGGCATATCTTGTGCTGTAGAACCTCCTGGTCTGACGGGGTTCATGGGCAGAAGAGGGCCACTGCATGAAAAGAAACTATCAGTTGGTATCAACTCTGCCCAGTTACACCCATGAACTCGGCAGGTCTGTGCTTTCTGAGCCGTAGCTTGGTATGGGCAGGGCCACACTGATGGGTGGACACAGATGGCGCTGCCCACCCCACTTCTTGGGCTGAGGGCTTCTTCATGGAGGCAGCACGGATTAGTTTGCTCCTAAGGCTGCTACTCCCTGGAGGAAGCAAGGGTTTGAGATCTTAGGGTAGGTAGCCAGTGCCTGTCCCTGGAGCCCTGGCACTTCTCTCTACAGGAAGTTCCTGGCATTGACTCTGTTCTGTTCTGTGCAGGTCAGCGTGAGTCCTGGGGTGGGATGGGGTGGGTGAAATAAGGACCCGGGGTCTTGCTGTCCCCTGTGATGTTGGCCTTCCAGGGAGCTCTTGGCTAGCTGGCCTGAGTTCTCACAAGTCATCTTCTTGGGTGGAACACGCCCCTCAGCCCACCCTTTCCTCTTCCCCAAGGTTCTCCAACCTTCCTAGGTCCACCAGGAGGCAACCACGAGCCCTTCCTGTCCTGACACACCCACTTCCCCTTCCAAGTGCTTAGCTTGAATGGCAGCTGCTGTCACCTGCTCTGTTCTTGCCAAGCTGACAGAGGGCACAGATCCTTAAGGGGATGCCAGGACAGTTAGGGCCTAGGTTCTGTGCCAGGCAGAATACATTTTGGAGACCCCATTCTCTTTCTTCCCTTTGTCCCATCCTGAAAGGAGCCTCATTGCCACCTGGTAGAACCTAGTATGTCCAATGTTGCCACAAATTAACATTCTTCTCCTGATTCCTGCTTGCATGGGAGCTGTGTGGTAGAACCCTCTGGCTCGCCTGCCACCTGCATACGAACGGGGCTAGCAGTGGGAGGGTCCCCCTTATGTGAACCCCTTAGCTTTCTGCCTGGCTCCTGCAAGAAAAGGTAGCCCTGCCCACTACTATTCCAACCTGGGTTATCTGCTTGGAGCCGGGATCTTTAGTCTTACCCTTTCCTGGGCTGATGGTCTAGCATCTACCGCTGACAGCCCTAGCCCTGCAAAGAACCGTAGGCGAAGACAGTTCACTTCTTGGTGGAGTGATCAGTGTCAGAACCAAGCCAGCTTTGGGTCCAGACTGATAGTCCTCCAGCCAGCTTAGGGCTTTGCTGCAGAGGGAGGAGGGGTTAGAAGGGGACTGGGGAGACTAGAGGCAGGCCACCAGCTCCTTTGATGCTACCCTGCTTTTCACCCTGATGTAGAGCTGGTCCTCTCCAGAAAGGCCCCAAGAGATTTCAGGCATCTTTCATCTGGGTGCTGGGGCAGAGCATGGAATGAGGGAAAGTGAGAGTGCGTGTGTGTGAGGTGTGTGTGTGGGGGCATTGTGTGTGTGTGTGTGTGTGAGAGAGAGAGAGAGAGAGAGAGCGAGAGAGAGAGAGAGAGAGAGAGCGAGAGAGAGAGAGAGAGAGAGAGCGAGAGAGAGAGAGAGAGAGAGAGAGAGAGAGAGAGAGAGAGACTCCACCCTTATGGCCTCATCTGGCCACTCCTGCAGATGTGGCTCTGGCCTGGTGGCCACAGAGTCGTCAGTGTGGCTGACAGAAACCACAGAGGAATGTGCTCAGCTTATGTTGAGGGAAGAGGGGGTACTGAGAGACATCCTGCTGAGGCTCTCCCTCCCCACCCCACCTCCCACCTCTAGTGGGTCTCCCAGGCATATTAGGCTTAAGAATGGCACGGCTTGCCCCAGGCCCAGAGATGGCCTTCAGTGCTGTGTTCCCTGAGGACATTTGCAGGGGCTCTTTTTAGTCCCTGCCACACCACACACCCTTCCCACTCTTGAAATGGATCAGGTGTGGGGGTGGGGGTGGGAAGAGGCCTGAACACTGGCAACCACCAGGACATCAGGGTTGTATCTTCTCTCTACCTGGGATGCAGTGAGCCACTTGGCCGGTGGAACATCTTCTTAGCCCTGTGTGGCCTCCCTGGTCTCGAGTGCGGGGCGTAGGACTTTTCTTTAGAGAAGTGGAGAGAAAAGGGGGATGAGTTGGTGTTGCCTTTCTCGCTTCCTTCTTCCCAGGCAGCGGTATCCTGCCTTCCCCTTCCTGTTAGCTTCAGGCGGCTTAGTGGGGTGTGGGTTGGGCTTGGGGCTCCCCACTGGTGTGGTGTTTGCCTGGTCACCCTGGCAACCACTGGGCAGCGATGTGGAATGACATTCAGTGACCAGAGGACAGTGCACAGGGATCAAGAGGTCAAGACCCAATCTTCCCATAAGCCAGTTGGAACCTTTCCCATTCTGTGGCCCATTGTCCGTGTGGACCTCAGAACCACCCTGTGGATCCCTCCACCGCTGTGCCCTGCCCAGGGATCCTCCCCTGGCTGGAGACTGAGGGCCTTGCCACAGCTCCAGCCCTCCCTCTGCCATCACTTCTTCCTGTCTGATTCCCTTTCCTTTCCTGTCTCCTCCTCCCACCTCCTCCCTGCACTCCCATTCTCTCATCCCCCTCCCCCCAACACAGCTGCTGTTTGGCTCACTCTATATATAGCGGCATTTTCAGGGTAATTACAATAAAACTGTTGAAAGGAGATAATCCAGCAGAGGAAGCCGGGCTGACTCCCAGCCCTCTCTTGTCCCTGGCTTGGTGCAGCCCTGCACCCCCTTTTCCCTGAGGCCTCCTGTTCCCACCCTGCCCCCCCCATGCCTCATCCCCCCTCATCTGCCCCAACTGGGACTTGACTGAAAGACCCACAGAGAGCAAGCTATCAGGAAGATCTTCACAGGCCCAATCCCTGCCTCGGTTTCTCTTCACGTGTAGTCTTAGGTGGGAAAAGACAAGGGACAATGAGTGAGAGTGTAGGACTTAGATTCATGTGGCTCTTTAGTCACCTGGCTATGTCTGGTCAAGTTACTCAGAACTCTCTCTGCCTTGGTTTCCTTATCTATGAAAGGGGTAATAATAGTAGAATCAAACTTGTATATCACTGTGCAATTTAAACGAGCCATGTGTATAAAATGCCTAGTATTAACTGTCAGTGACGCCATCGCCATCATGTATTGAATACTGTCACTCTCTGACTGCTACTTTTCACACTCATGTTTTTCCCTCAAACCCAAGGCCCTGTGCATGCCAGGCCGTCCCTTCCTGCAGCCCTGTTGCATAGTTTCTTATTGAAGTTCATGGCTTCAGCTCCATTTAAAGAAAGTGGAAGGCAGCACCCATGGGTGGAGAGATTTGTGTCATTCAGGGTCTAGTGGACCTGTCTGGTGGTCTCTTGGGCCCTGAGAGCAATCTGGGGCTGGATCCACTGACCACTTGTGTGTCTCTTGCCCACAGTGGAGGTGAAGCCGGTGCTGCCAGGAGCCATGCCCAGCTCCATGGGGGGTGGAGGTGGAGGTAGCCCCAGCCCTGTGGAGCTCCGGGGAGCTCTGGCAGGCCCCATGGACCCTGCGCTACGGGAGCAGCAACTGCAGCAAGAGCTCCTGGTGCTCAAGCAGCAGCAGCAGCTTCAGAAGCAGCTCTTGTTCGCCGAGTTTCAGAAGCAGCACGACCACCTGACGAGGCAGCATGAAGTCCAGCTGCAGAAGCACCTGAAGGTGAGCAGGGGTGCTCGGGGCCCAGCAGAGGTGCAGCCCTGCCTCGGCCTGGCTCACCACTGCCTCTGCCCTCCTGCACCCATCACAGCAGCAGCAGGAGATGCTGGCGGCTAAGAGGCAGCAAGAGCTGGAGCAGCAGCGGCAGCGGGAGCAGCAGCGGCAAGAGGAGCTGGAGAAGCAGCGGCTGGAGCAGCAGCTGCTTATCCTGCGGAACAAGGAGAAGAGCAAAGAGAGTAAGGCCAGAGCGCAGTTCCTGGGCCCCACCGCACAGCAGCCCCGGCTCCAGGCACCCCGCTCAGCTGTGCCCTGTCCCGTAGGTGCCATCGCCAGCACCGAGGTAAAGCTGAGGCTCCAGGAATTCCTCTTGTCGAAGTCAAAGGAGCCCACGCCAGGCAGCCTCAACCATTCCCTCCCACAGCACCCCAAATGCTGGTAATGGCTCTGGGGGGCAAGGGTTGGCAGAGGGGCCCTGCTCAGGGGCTGCCTGGTTACAGGATGGCTTAGGGCTCCCTGCCTTGCAAACCGTTTTTGAGTTCGGCAGTCTGTCTTACTAGGAGAGCTCTCTCCTTCCTATTTCTCTCTTCCCCTTCCCAGGATCCATTTTTCCCCCCTCTGTAATGTACACTCCTGGCTCCATGAGGGGTAGGGGTGGAGGTAGCCACCCCCAGGAGACCTTTCCATGGCTCTTCTTTGCTGTGCTGCGTGTGGTGGCCTCTGCCTATAGTAGCACTCAGGAGGTAGAGGCAGAAAGAATAGGGGTCCAAGTTCATCCTCGACTGCATAGCAAGTCTGAGACCAGCCTGGGCTATATGAGACCCTCTTTCAAAACATATATATATAAAAACAAACAAAACAAAGTCTTCCAAGTCAAACAACTAGCCTAGCGGGGCAGGTCCAGTGGGTAGGTGGTAATCTAGATCTGCTTCCACCCCACCCCCAGGGGAGCCCACCATGCTTCTTTGGACCAGAGTTCCCCTCCCCAGAGCGGCCCTCCTGGGACGCCTCCCTCCTACAAACTGCCTTTGCTTGGGCCCTATGACAGCCGTGATGACTTCCCCCTCCGCAAAACAGGTGCGTGAGTCCTGGCTTCCGGGAATATGGCTCTTAGGGTAGAGGTGAGCATGTGCCAAGGGCAGTCAGTGCTCCTGCTCTGAGTTGCCCCGACTGGTGGGCGGGGCTTCAGGTTGGTATATAGATCAGTCTGACTCCAGCCACTGTCTCTCCAGCTTCTGAGCCCAACTTAAAAGTCCGTTCGAGGCTAAAACAGAAGGTGGCGGAGAGGAGAAGCAGTCCCCTCCTACGTCGAAAGGATGGTACTGTTATTAGTACCTTTAAGAAGAGAGCCGTTGAAATCACAGGCACAGGGCCTGGGGGTAAGGCCTCCTCTCCTGTCCTAACTGTGAAGGTCTGGGAGGAGGGTGGCTCAAAGCAGGCCCAGGTGACAGCCACTTCTCCTGTAGTGTCGTCCGTGTGTAACAGTGCGCCCGGCTCTGGCCCCAGCTCTCCCAACAGTTCCCACAGCGCCATCGCTGAGAACGGCTTCACTGGCTCAGTCCCCAACATCCCCACCGAGGTACAGGACTGGCTGAGGCTGGGGACGGGGTCGGGGGCACAGAGGTGCTCTTTCTTTTGGAAGGTGGAGTTTGGCTCTTTCTGGTCTAGCTGAGTGCTCAGCCAAGATGCCTCTGTGTACATTTGGAGGGTTCTTGCCTGGATATGTTGCCTTGAGAAGAGATTTATTTGTCCCGCAGGCCCCTGAAGGGCTCTGATGTCTCTGTCACCCCCACTTGGGGTTCAGGGTTTGGGGGAGTGAGAGACCATTCAGAGCCCTTGGCCTTGGTCCAGGTTGCCCCTCTTGGCTGTCTCTCCTTTGCCTGCTTTCATGTCTGTCTCTCTCAACTACTCCCCAGATGCTCCCCCAGCACCGGGCCCTCCCTCTGGACAGCTCCCCAAACCAGTTCAGCCTCTACACGTCTCCTTCTCTGCCCAACATCTCCCTAGGGCTGCAGGCCACAGTCACTGTCACCAACTCACACCTCACCGTAAGTACAGGGCTCACACCCTAGCCAGGACTTTCACCTTCCCCATGGCCCTAAGGGAGCTGAGAAGGCATGGCCTGATCCGGTGGGTGGGCAGAGAGCTCAGGAGGGATGCTGGTCTGAGTTGGCAAGACAGGGGCAGCATCAGTCTGTGCCTTATCTACCATCACCCTCTAACTTCACCAGGCCTCCCCGAAGCTGTCAACACAGCAGGAGGCTGAGAGGCAGGCCCTTCAGTCCCTGCGGCAGGGTGGCACACTGACTGGCAAGTTCATGAGCACATCATCCATCCCTGGCTGCCTGCTGGGTGTGACATTGGAGGGCGACACGAGCCCCCATGGGCATGCTTCCCTGCTGCAGCATGTTTTGCTGCTAGAACAGGCCCGGCAACAGAGCACGCTTATAGCTGGTGAGTAGATGAACGGTGTGCCTGAGAAGGGGTGCTTGTCTCTCATGGGATCTCAAGTCAAGGCTATCCCTTAGGGAAAAATAGCCAGGGATACTCTTTAGTCCTTCCACAGCCGTTAGTAACATCATTGGTTTCTTCCATATTCTGAAAGCATCGGGTACCAAGGTTTGGTATGCCAGACCCTCGGCAGAACCTGCCCTTGTCACCAGGTTCAGATTCCATAGCAGAGCTGGCCAGCAGGAATATGCAGGTCACACTTAGTTTATTTAGTTAGGTGTTTGGGGGGGGGGAGGCGGGGCTCACTCTGTCACACTAGCCCAGTTTGGCCTCAGACTTATGGCACTCCTCTTTTCTCAGCCTCCAGAATGCTAGGATTTCAGACATGACATACCACACTAAGCTGCAAACCATACACTTGACTTAAAACTTTCGCCATGTTTGAAAATCTTAGGGCTGAGAATGTGGCTCACTGGGTCAGGTGCCAGCCGTGCCAGCCTGAGGACTTGCGTTCAGATCCCCAGTTCCCATGAAAGCCAGACCCAGTAGCATAAGTTTGTATTCCTAGCCCTAACACTCCTACATGAGATGGAGGCGGAGGGGGGGGGAACCCTCGGAAGCTCACAGGCCAGCTGTATACATAGCATACATAGCAGTAAGCAGTGAGAGGGATGTGTTAGATAAGGTGGAGGGTGGGGATTGACACGTAGGCTGTCCTCTGACTTCCACGTGCATGCCATGTTGCACTCACACACACCAACTGTATACACATACACATCGTGCAAACACTTTATTTTTTTTTGAGACAAGAGTCTCACTATGTAGCTCTGGCTGGCCTCAAACTCACTGTGTAGATCAGACTAGCCTCTAACTCAGTGATCTATCAGCACTTTGCTGAGATTAAAGGTGGGTGCCACCAAGCCCAGCAATATTTTTGTCTTTTTCTAGTCAGGGTTTCTCTCTTTTTTTTCTTTTTCTTTTTCTTTTTTTTAAAATTCATTTATTATGTATATAGTGTTCTGTCTGCATGTAAACCAGTGCAGGCCAGAAGAGGGCACCAGATCTCATTATGGATGGTTGTGAGTCACCATGTATGTGGTTGCTGGGAATTGAACTCAGAACCTCTGGAAGAGCAGCCAGTGCACTTAACCTCTGAGCCATCTCTTTAGCCCCTCTCTGTGTAGTTTTGGCTGTCCTAAAACTCTATGTAGATCATGCTGGCCTCGAACTCATAGAGATCCACCTGCCTCAACCTCCTGAGTACTGGGATTAAAGGTGTGTGCCACCACTGCCCAGCTATTTTTCAGATTATTTTTTTTCTTAACCTAATTCTCTCTCCTCTCTCTTTCTTCCTGTGTGTCTTTCTTTCTTTCCTTCTTCCTTTCCTTTTTTTGAGACAGGGTTTCTCTGTGTAGCCTTGGCTGTCCTGGAGTTCATTCTGTAGACCAGGTTGTCCTCGAAGTCATAGAGACTTCTGCCTCCCAAGTGCTGGGATTAAAGGCATGTGCTACTGTTGCCCGGCTTATATATTTAGCTTCTATCTAGAATATTATTATCATTTCAGTTTTTGTTTCGTGTGAGCCTTGGAATCCAATGTATGTTTCATACTGGTAGCTAATGTCAATTTAGGCCATGTTTCAAGGGCTCACTCATTGCCCACAGCAATGACATTGGACAGTATTAGACAGTCAGCCCTTAGAACCTGCCAACATTCTTAGGGGATCTGCTAGAAATACACGTGGCCTTGGCCCAGAACTTCTCAGCCTGGCAGGGAGATCTTGTTGCAGTTGGAGAGAGCTAGTCATTGTTCCTATGTGTAGTGGGCCCGGGACTACTTGTGTATACTCAGGCAAATCAAAGGGATAGAAAAGAGACCCTAGGAAGGCTTGCTGGTGCCAGTGGCACCGAGCTCACTGTTGAAGTATAGGGATGAGAAAGAATGGGGCTCAGCCTCGGGGACAGGGTGCCCCCTCCCAATAGTACTTATTCCCCTTCTCCACCTTCATAGTGCCACTCCATGGGCAGTCCCCATTGGTGACGGGTGAACGTGTGGCCACCAGCATGAGGACAGTGGGCAAGCTCCCGAGGCACCGACCTCTGAGCCGCACTCAGTCCTCTCCACTGCCGCAGAGTCCCCAGGCCCTGCAGCAGCTGGTCATGCAGCAGCAGCACCAGCAGTTCCTAGAGAAGCAGAAGCAGCAGCAGATGCAGCTGGGCAAGGTACATCCAGACAGGCAATGTCCTGGGCTACCCAGGAGTGACCCAGGCTGGCAAGACACAGGGGGGCTGAACCCGGTGAGCAGAGTGCTTGGAGGAGCCACCTTTGCGTTTTCCAATTCACATAGAATCCGTTGTGTGGACCGGTGCCTGCCTGGCTGGGAGAGGGCGAGAAGGGCAGTAGACCGGCTTGGGCTGCACCCACCCCCAGACAATATGCTTCCTTCTCCTAGATCCTCACCAAGACTGGGGAACTGCCAAGGCAGCCCACCACCCACCCCGAGGAGACAGAGGAGGAGCTGACAGAGCAGCAGGAGGCTTTGCTGGGGGAGGGGGCCCTGACCATGCCACGGGAAGGCTCCACAGAGAGCGAGAGCACCCAGGAAGACCTAGAAGAAGAGGAGGATGAAGAGGAGGAAGACGAAGACTGCATTCAGGTCAAGGATGAGGAAGGCGAGAGTGGTCCCGACGAGGGCCCTGACTTAGAGGAGTCCAGTGCTGGTTATAAAAAGGTACCTCCCATGCACTTGGTCTCTACCGACTGTCCTTCAGTCTCCAGTGGTGCAGTTGCCAGGCCTTGAGCAGCTTTCTAAAGAACAGGAAGGGGAGGAGAGACCAGGAGGGAGTGGGAGGGGGCTCCTGTATGGTCCCTGAGCTGTACCTGCCTGCCAGTCTCCCTTTGTGGCTGCCCTTGTCTCTTAACTGCAGTGTGCTTGTGCGTGTGTGCATACACATGGCTCTGCGTTCGTGCCTGTGTCGGCTGGTTGTGCGTTGGTCTCTGCGTGCATGCGAGCTTGTGTACACACACGCCCCCACTGTTACTACAGTGTGCCTTGAGCCTAGCGCGCTCCATTCATTGCGGACACAGCCCCAAGCCCTTAGGCCTGACTCATCCCGCCCCCACCCACCCCCGTCCCTCTCAGCCTCTTACCTCAATGCTACTATTTGGAGTGACTCATCACATCCCCCATCTTCTCCATCTTGCAGGAGATGGCAAGGCTGCAGTGTCTCCTGTCCCTGGAGGGAGCAAGTGGGAGGAGGTGGGGGAAGGAGGAGACTTGGGGGCCCTCTGCAGGCTGAAAGGACCCTGTACCCAGTCCCATCCAGGCTGTGCCTTACACAGGCTTCTTTCTACTCCTTTCCAGTTGTTCACAGATGCCCAGCAGCTACAGCCCCTGCAGGTGTACCAGGCACCCCTCAGCCTGGCCACTGTGCCTCATCAGGCCCTGGGCCGCACCCAGTCCTCACCTGCTGCTCCTGGGAGCATGAAGAGCCCCCCAGACCAGCCCACTAAGCACCTCTTCACCACAGGTAAGCCCCACCACTTCCCGTTCCATCCTTTCACCATGCACCAGGGGCTTGGATGTATAGCATCCATGGACCTGCGTACACACTGCATGGAGGGGAAAGGAGTCCTCATATCTCCGTGTGCATCACAGCTATTCATGGGAGCAGCAGCAGCTTCTCTCCAAGCAAGAGGGTAGGCAGCTTTGCTCCTACTCCCGGGGGCAGCGTTGTCTTCTCTGTGCCCCCACCCTCCACCTAGGGCACCTGCTTTTGCACCATCATCCCACAAGTCCTAGAGCCTTGGGTGGAGAGTCCACTGCTTCTTTTAGTTCTTGCCCTTCTAGCCTCCTGGTCTCCTTCCTCCCTGTGGGGTTGGCAGTGAGGCCTCAGTAGAACCCAGAAGGCCTTTGCCCATAAGGCTGCCACATGCTCGGTTCTGACATGGCACAGACTTACTGACTGTCTCACCAGTGGGGAACAGAGCATGGGCAGACATGATGGGGAAAAAGAGGAAGGTCCCATGGGGACGGTATAGGGGATGCAGAGGACAGAGATTGGGACCAGCAGCAGCCAGGCTGGGTTTGAAGAGGAGAGAGGGTATGTAGGTGAGTGTTGGTGGATAGTCAGAGATAGTTACTAGGACAGGATGTGCAGTAGGGTTCAGAACAGTTGTGGCTGACACAAGGGTCTGTGGCCCAGGTGTGGTCTATGACACGTTCATGCTGAAGCACCAGTGCATGTGCGGGAACACACATGTACACCCAGAGCACGCCGGCCGCATCCAGAGCATCTGGTCCCGGCTGCAGGAAACTGGCCTGCTCAGCAAGTGTGAGGTGAGGGAGCCCCTACCTTCAGCTGGGAATTCCATCTGAGTGGTGCCTTCACTGCCCTTCCAGCAAAGCCTCTCCCATGCCCCAGCCCTCCAGTCAGTCCTGAGACTTTCCCAGTTCCATCCCTTGTGGTCTGCTTCCCTCAGGGTCCCCAGATAACCTGGGAAAGAGTCCTGGAGTGGGGTCTCTCAAGGGCCAAGGCATAGTTACTCCACATCCTTTGGCTCTCCTGGAGGTTGGCTCTGTGAGCATTGGGCTGTAGTTGTCAAGCAAGTCGAGCCTTGTCAACGCTCTCTGGCCTCTCTTGACCTCCCCTGGCAGCGGATCCGGGGTCGTAAAGCCACACTGGATGAAATCCAGACAGTGCACTCTGAGTACCACACCTTGCTCTATGGGACCAGCCCCCTCAACCGGCAGAAGCTGGACAGCAAGAAGCTGCTTGGTGAGCTGCAGGGCATGTTCCCATGTGTGTCCTCAGTCTGAGTGTGATGGGGCTGTCATGAAGACCACCAAGCCAGAGTAGACAGCAGTCCTAGTGGGGTCACACCCCAAGAGGGTGTCTTTTGCCTAGACGCAGATTGAATATACTGGGCATCAGGCATAAAGGTGGACTTGGTGGTAGTGGTCTGTGTTTCTTCCCAACCTGTCATGTCCCTACTGTTTGCCTCCAGAGATAGGTCATCTCCCCAGAACAGAGGATAGAGGCTCTCAGCTGGCATGGACTGCATAGCCCATGCCAACTGGCAACTGGGACACCTTTTAGAGCATCTCTGTCCCTCTTTCCTTCAGGGCCCATCAGCCAGAAGATGTATGCCATGCTGCCTTGTGGGGGCATTGGGGTGAGTTGAATATGTGTGATTGGAGTGGGCAAGTGGCTCCCCCGGCTTGGCTCCTTCCTCCCTGCCCCCATGGCTGCTGGCCTGCTCTCTGGTGCCCACTCCCGTTCCTCCCCTCCCCCTGCAGAGGGCACACTGAAGCCCGATCTCCTGCCCCCGCAGGTGGACAGTGATACTGTATGGAATGAGATGCACTCCTCCAGTGCTGTGCGAATGGCAGTGGGCTGCCTGGTAGAGCTGGCCTTCAAGGTGGCTGCAGGGGAGCTCAAGGTAAGGATATACTTGTGGCCTCCATGCCCCTTGCCTGGGTCCTGTGTCTTCAGGAGCAGGTGCTCAGGGGAAGCACTGACTTCCCTTCATCAAGACATTGTCCTTTGCAACTTTAAAGTCTTAGTGCTAGGATGGGGAGAAGCTTGAGGGACAGCCATGGTTTGAGGGCCATGGGGAACCAAGTAGGCACTAAAGCCTGAGAGACAACTGTTTCCTGTAGTTGACAGTCATAAAAGTGCATTTCTGTGTTCCCATCCCTGCCTGGCTTGTGCTTCTCTCCTGTATCTACCCTGCCCCTGGCTGCATGACTTTCCTGACAGTTGCCCTTCTGCTTGTACTTCAGAATGGATTTGCCATCATCCGGCCCCCAGGACATCATGCTGAGGAGTCCACAGCCATGTGAGTACCACTCTGCCCTGACCCTGGCCCTCTGCCATCAGCTTTTCCTCTCTTTCACTGGAAGCAAACCTCACATCATTCAAGCTGACCTCCTTGCCCTCTCTTCCTCCCCACACCCCTCAGGGGATTCTGCTTCTTCAACTCCGTAGCCATCACAGCTAAGCTCCTGCAGCAGAAGTTGAACGTGGGCAAGGTCCTCATCGTGGACTGGGTAGGCAGCAGGCTGGGTGCCTGGGCAGGGATGGGCAGGGCGGTGCCAGGGAAGGCCTTCAGAAGCGCCTCCAGGCGGCTCACTCCACCTCTGGGCGGCAGGCACTTAGGGCTCACTGGTTGGCTTCACATGTTGACAAGTTTGTATCCTTCTTGCTTCATCATCAGGCCAGTGCTCTCATTCCAGTAGGGTGGGTCCTCCCTGGGGGACCCCAGTATGTTCTTAGCCTCATTTACCTTATCTTCCCCTAGCAGCATCCAACATCCCGATGATGACCTACTCTGAGCAGCAAGGACAGGGGTGGTGCTACTACACTGTCAGACCCCTTTCCCCCTTTGCCCTTACCCTAGGGGCTGCTGAATGCCAGAAAGCTGACCCTGTGCTGCTCATAGCCACCTCTGGCAGTGCAAAGTAGCCCTCCACTTCTTTAAGTGAGGAGGACACTGTTGGGTTACTTAGCAAGGATGCCACACCTCTGTTCCTGAGGCTGTGGGCGTTCCTCAGCCTCCTGCTGTCATGGTGGGGAAAGGGCACAAACGGCTCACTGTGCTTGAGGAATCACTGGGCAGTTGATCAGCAAGGATAGAATTTTTGAAATCCAATTTTGATCTAAAATCATGTATTCAGGTATGGTGCACAACTATAATCCCAGCACTTAGGAGACTGAGGCAGGAGGATTGAGAGTTCAAGACTAGCCTGGACTACCTAGTGAGACTACCTGCCTCAAAAGAAAACAAATTCATGGAAATGTTGATCCTTCTGAAGAAGGATCCTGGGATCCTTCTTCAGAATCTATTTGCCTGTGTTAAATTCCTTGCCAGCCTGACTTTCCCTTGCACGTCAGTGAAATGGGTTCTGCAGGGAGATAAACCATATTCATCCCATGGCTCTAGAGCCTGGACTCAGGGTCGCAGTCCTGGAGCCACTGGTGGGCTCATCTTGAGAGCTAATGGGAGGGTGGGTGGGGAACAGTGGCATGTGAGCCTTTGGATTAGAGCTTAGACTGGTGCCCAAAGCACCCTGCACTTACCCCCATTAGGACATTCACCATGGCAATGGCACCCAGCAAGCATTCTACGATGACCCCTCTGTGCTCTACATCTCCCTGCATCGCTATGACAATGGGAACTTCTTTCCAGGCTCTGGGGCCCCTGAAGAGGTACAACCCCTGGGCCTTCATGTGAGCCCTTTTGGGAGGTAGCATGCTAGGATCTGGCAGGAAGCCACAGAAGTCCATTCATAGTGATGGCCCCTGTGGCATTCTTGGGCTCCTAGTGGGAGGACCACACAGATCTGACTGCTAGTCAGGGAAAACAGAGGTGGGGTGTGGGGGGGGGGGTAGGGAGCAGTGTTTGGGATCCAGGGCAGTGATAGTGACCTCTCCTACCTTATGCCAGGTTGGCGGAGGGCCAGGCATGGGGTACAATGTTAATGTGGCATGGACAGGAGGTGTGGATCCCCCCATCGGAGACGTGGAATACCTAACAGCCTTCAGGTGGGGACTGAGAAGAGCCAAAGGAGGTGTGGGACCCTGAGCTGGCAAGGGCAGCAGGCACTCAGTTGGGGTGGCGGAGGGGTATGGCCTCAATGGAGAACAGAGCATGGCAAGGCTCAGCCTGGCCTCTGCTGGCATTAGCTTGGGCCATCCCTTTACAGGACAGTGGTGATGCCCATTGCCCACGAGTTCTCACCTGACGTCGTCCTAGTCTCCGCTGGGTTTGATGCTGTCGAAGGACATCTGTCTCCACTGGGTGGCTATTCTGTCACCGCCAGATGTGAGCCTACTAGGGGTCTGGGAGGGTGTGGAACACTGAGGCACATGGGACAGGGAATAAGTTGACACTGCAGGGAGTAAGTCTAAGACTTTAGTAGCTCTACCCACTCATCTGCCAACCCCGCCATGGGCCCAGCAGGTAGAAGTGGAGTAGCAAACAAAGTATCTTCCACTGGAGCTCACTGGCCTTGACCTACCAGAAACACAACTCATCTTAGCCTGTCTCCGTTAAGTTCACTGACATTTCATCTCATTGTAGATGCACTGGGGCTGAAGTCTGCTGTCCTACCTTTTTTCTCCTTCTTCTCTTTGATCCGATTTATCACTTATCCTTTGCTCTTTACTCCCATACAAAGGTTTTGGCCACTTGACCAGGCAGCTCATGACACTGGCAGGGGGCCGGGTGGTGCTGGCCCTGGAGGGAGGCCATGACTTGACCGCCATCTGTGATGCCTCTGAGGCCTGTGTCTCGGCTCTGCTCAGTGTAGAGGTGAGTGGGCCACACAGACGTGGAACAACAGGTGGGATATCCACCTCACGGGCTCCTTGAGGTTTGCCTAGGTCTGAGAAATAGTTGGCCAAGGAAGGCTGATTAGGGTTCCTCCCAAAAGCCTGTGCTTGCCAGTACAGGACTGTCTGGGCTGAATGGGGATAGTTGGAGAGCTAGGCAATTGCCCCTAACCCCACTCTAAGCCTGCTCTTCTTTTCTCTGCAGCTACAGCCCTTGGATGAAGCAGTTTTGCAGCAAAAACCCAGCATCAATGCAGTCGCCACACTAGAGAAAGTCATCGAGATCCAGAGTGCGTCGGGACAGGCAGAGGGGCTCATACCTCAACCTGCCAGGCAGGCGGGGCACATGGGGAGTGGGGTACCAGGGCTAGCAGGTATGTCTAGACCAGTCTGTTCTCCCTGAACCTGTCTGTCCCTTTTGCACAGGCAAACACTGGAGCTGTGTGCAGAGGTTTGCCACTGGTCTGGGCTGCTCTCTGCAGGAGGCTCAGGCAGGTGAGACTGAGGAGGCCGAGACTGTGAGCGCCATGGCCCTGCTCTCTGTGGGCGCTGAGCAGGCCCAGGCTGTTGCCACTCAAGAGCACAGCCCCAGGTAAGCATCTCACCTCCCATCTCCCTGCCCTGGGTAAGGTAGTGAATGCTCTCTACTGAGTCCCCTCCCTGTGCTTGTCCCCACAGGCCAGCAGAGGAGCCCATGGAGCAGGAGCCTACCCTGTGACACCCTGGCCCCCATTCCTCTGGGCTTCATCATTGCGATTTTGTTTATTTTTTCTATTAAAAACAAAAAGTCACACATTCAACACCGTGTGCTGTGTGGGTCTCTCAGACTTGCTCTTCCAAGCTGCTTCAGCCCTCCTACCACCAACACATGGTCCATGCCCCAGCTTTAGGAGTCCATTCCTGCTGTGAGGGTTGGGTGTAGCATTCACTTCTCTGAGATAGCGTTGTTATCTCATGCCCAAGTCTCTGTACTCTTTTCTACGTTGGACAGTACTCTGGGCAGAACCTCCAATTCTGGAGCTACTTGTGATGGGAACAGTAAGTTGGTGCCTTGGCTTGGGCTGGCTTTTGGGAAATGCCTTAATAACTTCACCTCCACACCCCCCCCAACACCCACCTCCTCAGGAAGATTCACTACTACTTAAGACGAAGAGTGGAGGAGGTTAGGCTTCTACCCTTAACTCCCCCTTCCTCTCTGTCCTCAGCATTCTGCAAACCCCCTCCTCTCTGGATTCATGCAGCACTGCAGACTTGTGCCCAAGATGTGGGCCTTAGATTTGTGGCCAGATTTCTTGTTTCACACTCCCAGGACCCCGGAGGGTTACAGGGTGACCCGCAGCTGGGTTGGGGCGGGCAGGAGGACCTGCACACACGAGCAGGTTCTCTACTTTATTCTGTTGACCTTCCTGCCTTGTGCTGGCCCAGCATAGGGAGAGGAGAAGCTAGACTACGTGGGGTCTTCAAGTTCTTGCAAGCAAGCCCCTTTGATGTTCTGGACCAGATTTCCTTCAGCCATCAGCCTGCTGCAAGTGAAAGGATCAAGACTCAGTTTCCTTCTGGATTGTTTTTGCTTTGAAGCCTGGGTATGGTCAAAGAGGTGGCTCTAGAATAGACAAGGCCAGAATCCTCTGCCCAGAAGCCCAGGGCAGGGCTCTCAGCATGAGGGGGTTAGGGGCTGTACATCTTTTCCAGTAACCTGTGTTCAGAGGTTGCAGCCCACAGGCTTCCAGTGAGCGTGGTCTACCCTGTAGGAAACCAAAGATGGGACGTGGCACCTAGGGGGCCAACTCCTATACCACATTCTCTCCTTCCATCCCAAGAGCCCAGCAATTTGTTTACATACTATCCTGATGGGGGCCTGAGCAGGGTTGAGGGAGCTACGGAGTTATTAGTTATTAGTGTGTCTGTGTGCTGATCATCCTTGCACTGAGCCCAGGGCTCCAGGCCTCACTTTCACCATGGGCTGGTCTTATTCTCATGTAAACCCACTCCTGCTCTGTCCCCCTGGACATGGATTTTAGTTAAGTATTTTGTATCATGCCACACTGTGTGTCCTTGTGTAAATACTGGGAATAATGTCTGTTCTCTGGGTTCCCACATGGAGTAAAAGTGCTCATTTCTTTCCTAACCAAAATGCTGCCTTTTCTTCAGCCTTGGACTAGAATTCTGTCTGAGGCAGTGTGTGTGTGTGTGTGTGTGTGTGTGTGTGGTGGGGGGGGGGGGGGGGCTAGGGTGGGAGATTCCTGTTCTCCTGGGGGAGTGTCCACTGGATTGTTGCCATCATATCTCAAGAGATCTCTGCTACGGCCTTGTCAGGGAGGAGGGGTGAGGACTCAGCTGACTTTTCAGCCCCTGTTTACTTTGTCTTTGTAGGGGCCGGAGGCTCCATTGGTGCACATGCAGTTCATGCAGGCAAAGTCAACGGAGATGTGAGCATAGGCAAGAAAGGAATCCACAAGTTTCAAGAGCTTTATTGAGACTTTCCTGAGCTACTTGTCAATGTCAGGAACCCAGCACTCCATCCCCACCACACCTGCTGGTTGCTTCTGCTTTTGCTTTGTGGGGACCCTGGGGGAAGGCAGGAAACAGCCTCCTTGGGAAACAGGTCCTTTTAAAAAAGGGGCTAAAATTACAGAACATGAGATAGGAAATGAAGTTCCCTGTGAGCCGGGCCAATTTTGGAGCCCAGGAAAAGGACTGCCTTTTAGAGTGTGGTGGTCAAGGAGTGTTGTCTTTGGGCAAGAGAGCGGCAAGGGAGGCAAGAGACATCAAGAGGAGTGAATGGGTGGTGCTTCCTGGACACTGAATGTGTGCACCAGCCAGGGCACAAGGGCCAAGACCAGGCAGGGCCAGAGGGTGTATTTGAGGAAGTTGAAGATGTAGAAGAGGCTGATCTGAGGTGGGTGGCCCAGCCATTCCAAGATGACCAGCAGCCCAATGGCCAGCAAAAAGCAAGCTATCTTCTGGCCGTTTCCCAGGTATGCCCGCCGTATCTGGCCATAACAGGGAGAGTGTAAAGCAATGCCAAGACCCAGGGCAGTTCCCGAGACACGGCTCAGTGAGGCAAAGGGTCGACTGTCCAAATGCACCCACTCGGGCCGCTCACACCACTTGGAAGCCAGGCTGATGGACCTGTGAGGAAGCAGAGTCTTAACCAGGAGAGACTGGAATCCAGACAGCCACTGGCTCCTGGCTGTCTTCCCTTGGGGACCTGCTCCCATGTATTGACTCCACATCTGTCTAGGAACAGTTCATGTGCCCTTTTATAGCTACAGTGAATCAGAGACCTACCATCTAGATACAAGGTCCAGCTGCCCAGACGCCAAAGCAGGACTTACCAGGAAAGATCCAGGCCCAGTGTAAAAAGAGTCCAATACATGAGGCTGGCACCCAGCATAAGGGCCAGAGCAGTCAACCCATAGAAGCTAAGTTCCCGTTCCATGGGCACATGTGGAGCCATAAGCCAGCCAAGCACAGCACCTAGAGGGATGTAAAACTGTTACTAGATGTTTGAGGAAATGATCTACCCCTTTCATCCAGGCGGGAAAACAAACTATGACAAAGGCGGGGACCTTGAGGTTGGCTCTACAAAAGCTGGGAATGCTGGGAAGTTTCTAGACTGGTCCTCCCACTGCCAAAGACACCCTCTTGGCCCACCCTGTTACCCCAGTTGCTCACCAGTTATAAGGCCTGCCAACACCTGGTGAGGGAAATGTGCTAAGAGGAAGACCCGAGATAGGCCGACTGCCAATAAGAAGGTGCAATAAGCCAGGCTAGGAATCACCCTTACCCAGGGGCTAGAAAGAAGAGAGACAAATGGCTCAAGGGATGAACGTGGCTTTGCTTTCTTCAGCATCCAAATACTTCAGAGTCTGAACCAACACCCCCAGGTCACAACAACTCTAGTTCCCAAACTAATATGCTGTGGAGACTTTGGGGTTCAGAATACTGCTACTGGTGGACAATAAATACCATGGTCATACCTTCGGGACCGAGATGCCACCTGAGAAGAAATGGCTGTCATTATAGGCCAGAGAGCTGCTCCCGTGATCATGCAATGGCCAGAAGGGCTGCCTGCCGGGAGAGCCAGAAGTTCATGGTGAAACAATAAAACCCAGGTGCCCCTGGTACAGCTTTCCCAATACCAGCCGATCACTCCCTCTGAGACCTTTCTCTCAAGGTCACCGTTCTCAGGCTTCTGCCTTGCCATGTGCCTGGCTTTACTATCTATGAGGTGACTAGCCAGCTGAGGCTTGTCACTCAACCTGGTCTTCCCCAGGGCTTGTTTTCCAGACCAGTAACTAAGAGGCTGGCCCTGTTTGGACCACCCTAGCTGAAGTATATGGAAATTTTTATCTGAACCTTAACCACACCAGGAATGGGAGGAAGTTGGAGCTTTTCCCACCTGGGCCAGTCTCACAAGAAGAGGGGAACTGGTGAACCTGGACTGGAGTCTGGCTGGAGTACCCAGACTCATGCACCCACCAAAAGGGCCTGTCTCCAAACAGAAACCTGGAAGACACAAGATACAAGGCCATATGACACACACACACACAGTGCTGGAGGGATCGAGGGGACAGTAGGAATCTGGAGGACCTGCTGGGTGCACTCAGAAGGACACTCTGATTCTAGCTGTTTATCTTACCATGACTTTCTAATTTGGAGCATAGAGAAGCACACATTTTCCTTTTAAAGTGATATGGAGGCCAGAGGTTGTAGAGAGAGACTGTGTGTGGGGGGGTGTACATATTCTCTTGAGACACATGAGCCATTCTTATCCCTCCCACTCACTGCATGGCCAGCTCTTCTTGGGACCTGGCTTTCCTGATCTCATTTCCCATCCCTGTTCCCCCCCTCAGGCTCCTGGTTCCAGCCTGAGTTACCCACCCCTGAATTATATAGGTGAGCATCTTGAGTGTGAAATTGGGAGCTGGGAATGTACAGAGCAGTCTGAGAAAGACTAAGGAAGACACCCCCCCCCCAAAAAAAAGTCCAACTCCCTTGGCTTAGCAGATGCTTGTTTGGCGTCTGGAGAGCTCGATCTAGATGAGGCTGCTGTGGCCAGAAAGAGAAAAGATGAAGGAGCAGGAAGCAAAGTGTGTGTGGGGGGGGGTTTCAGAAGAGACTTGTCTTTTCCCACCAAAAACTGAGCCTCACATACATCAAATGTTGAACACAAAGCTATAAAATGAATACAGGGTCAGGCATACTAGTGTATGCCTGCCATCCCAGCACCGGGGAGACTGAGGCAAGAGGACCACCATTCTGGCTTAGATAGTGAGATCTTGTTTCAATGAAGGAGGAGGAGGAAGAGAAGAAGAGGAATTAGGGGCTTTGTTACTCAGACAGACTGAAGGAGGGGAAAGCACAAAGCACAGGATAGTGGCCGTTAGGCCAGAAGGAAATGATCTGACAACTGCTTTTAGGTTTACAAGTAAGCATGAAGCCCTTGTGGAAAATGGCAGGACGTAGGGGGACTCCTAGTCTGCTTTTCAGTATGTCATTCTAGCCCATTAGCTATCTCTTTATGAACCCCCTTCCTACTTCAAGGCTGGGGACTGGGCAAACAGCAGTTGAGGTAGAGCTGCAGGTCCAGCAACTCCCTTCCATATCCAAAGACAGACAAACAAACAAAAAAAACCCAAACAAGATGACACAGATGATAAACCCCAAGGGCTGCAGGAGGCCCAGTAGTATGGGAGCCTGGCTTCGTAGAGTAAGAACGCTATGCTAGCAACTGCTGGAGAAAGAGAGGTATTCCCTGCAGGCAGGGCAAGGCTTCCTTTTAGTCACTAAAGT